TACCCACTGTATATATATATATATATATATATATACTTCAAGATAACATTATGAAAGTAAAATGCCAATAAAGTGTACTTAAAGATAATACGCTTCCATTACTGTTACATTACTAAAGTACAGCGTTAAAAAGTTCAATTAAACTTTCAATTAAAACTTTTACTTTAAAGTATATTTTAAATCATTGTTTTAATAATCTTTCATAATGCTTAAAAGAAGTACACTTATTTTTATGTATTGACTAACATTCTTAAGCTCTACTGTTTAACCATAGACAATAAACATAATTATAAAATGACATGTAAAGATGTACTTAGTATTAAACATCATGAAAATCAGACTTTTTTCTGTGTTTAGGTGCTATAATCGGGTCCCTGGTGCATCTATCAACCCAGAAAATGTAAAAAAGAACAACCCAGGGTGCATTTCCCAAAAGCATCGTTAGCCAACTATGGTCGCAAGTTACATCGTTACCAACATAGTTCAATGATTTGGTGATTCCCGAAACCATAGTTCAGGGGTGGCGAACTATGCGGAGAGCCGCAGCCCTGCAGAGTTCAGCTCCAACCCTAATTAAAACTCACCTACCTGTAGCTTCCTAGTAACCGTTCAGACCTTGATTACCTTGTTCAGGTGTGTTTGATTAGGGTTGAAGCAAAACTCTGCAGGGCTGCGGCTCTCAGGACCGCATATCCTATCTATCTATCTATCTATCTATCATCTGACTATTTCTATCTATCTATCTATCTGTCTATCTATCTATCTAGCTATCTATCATCTGACTTTCTTTCTATCTATCTATCTATCTATCTATCTAGGTTCGCCACCCCTGCCATAGTTCAAACGAACATTCGCAAACAGTGTCGCAAACTTACGTAAGTGGTTGGAACTACAGCTCTCGACCTTTTGTTAGAAGCATAGTTTCTTGTTAGTAAGACATATGGCCTTAAATATGCTTATGGACACTATAAGCAAGCTAACATGCAGTACAATCTATATATTCCATTCTGTCTAAATATAAATGCATTTTAATGTATGTATTTTTGTGCATCCTCAATAAGCTCCGTTTTTGAAGAGTGTGCATGTGCATAAATGCCTAAGGGAACCCCGGAGTGTGACGCAAGAGGGAACCTGTGATGACTCAAACATCAAATAAAGCAAAATGAAAGGGAACAAAAAATTGTAAATTAGTCATCAGGTGCCATGTTCAATAAATCTTAGAGATCTCTAATCAGTTAAATAGCAGAAGTTATTCCTCCACCACATGCATGTGATGTCATTAACAATGGGCCCTATGTTGTTGAACTAATGTGGTTCAAACGACAGACATGCGGCCATGTTCATGAAATAGTCGTGACTAGCTAGTCCGTTTCCACAACAATGCATAGTACTATGGTGGTTAAGCAGAGTTATGCTGTTGTACAGGAAACGCACCCCCAGTAAAAATGTTTGGTAAGCCTTTCTCAGCAAGCTTGTAAAAAAATGAGGCACTCAGATTTCGCTCCCCCGTGACGTAGAAAGGGGATCTTATTATAATATTAGCATTCCTTAATCTGCACATTTCCACCCACGGCGCCGCCATTCTGTTTTCACAAGTGACAATGGCATACAATTTCTAATGCCATGGCAAAAGGTCGAGCAAAGCATGCTAACTGTTCTGTCTTTGGCTGCACTGACAAGCACAGAACACTATTTAGAGTCCCAGCCTCAAAGGAGACAAGATAGCAGTGGATTTATTGATTTATTTACTGTATATTACGCTGCTGCCACACAGATCTAATGTAAACATGCAATTTATTTCCCAACTCTTTACCTTCACAGACATAACCGACTGTTTTTGTAACTTGTGTGTTTTTAACATAAACTTGTATTTGAAAGTTTAGGTGCAATAAGACATGAAAGAGTCTAGTACTCGCATGCCTCTTTCTGTGCACTGGACTGTTTTTAACAGACGCCCCTGTTTGTCTTTTCCTCTTCTTACAGTTCCTCACCGTTACAGTCAGTTTCCTCTGCTGGCAGCCTCAGTGCTCAGACAGCAGCGGTTTTGCGTTTGACCTTGAAGTTCATTATAAATGGCTGAGCTAGCATGGTGAAGGCAGGCTTGGTTTTTTCAGCTTCTCTTTCTGCTCAAATATGTATCGTTAACATGGAGATATAGACTCGCTCTGACAAACACATGCTCTTGTTCTTCAAGTTGCATGTCAGAGGAGGTGAGAGGGTTAGGTTGTTGAGTTTTATGCACTTTTCCCCTTGTTTCCCTTAAGGCAGCATTTTTGTAACTCAAAACAGAGCATCTACTGCATTACTCCAAATGAAAGCTTCTTGCCCCAGTTGAAAATATCTGATAAGAATAAATAATCCAAACATTCTTAGTGTCAGGAGAATTCATCAGGTGAACTGTCCGATTCTCATTTCCAGTGTTTCCCAATCCTTCTAAGCCAAGAGCTTGCAGTTAGATTAAAATATTAAGAATATAAAAGTCAAGTTAGATATTACTGTGAGACATGGCCAAACAAATTCCCTCCAGGACTTGGCTCATTTTCCCACTTCTAGAAAACATTTTAATATTGTATGTCCCCAGCTAGCTAGCATCACAATGATTGATGATGCAAATAATATCATGAGGCTAAAGGATGTTAACTTTGAGACTGAAGTGAAACACAGTCGCTCATGGAGACAAATATACCTGCAGCATCCTTAGCAGTGCTGTTTCTGTCACAGCGAAGCATGCAGTCCTTATCTGCTTGCTAATTGGTTATGTTTGACATGGATTTATTCTGCTCCCCTTATTTGATCGGATTAGTTCCCTACCCTCCAGCGCGTTTACACATTCTCAAACGTTCCCTCACATTTCTCTACATTGCTTTTTTTATTTACCACAAGTGAGGCTGCTAGTTACTAAGTCGATATCTAGCATTACATTTACACAGTTGTCCTTTAAATAAGGTTGGATATTATGGTTGGACATTAAACAGAAGTCTAGGTGACAAATTTTCCAAGCCAGTATTACTGTGTTGAACAAACTGCATTTTATATAACAGTAATAATAATAATAATAATAATAATTATTATTATTATTATTATTATTATGTAGGGTATCAGACCGAATCAGACATTTTAAGATTCGATCAAGAACATGGTTGAAACACGAGGAGCCGAATTCCACAGAAAGGCCCAAGACGCAGGATGTTCGTAAATCAGATCCTGGCGCCACAAGCCTGAAGCAAGTCCACCAACTAGCAGCTTTGAGTAGCTCACAGCATTTAAACAAAAGAACACTTATTGACAATTCCAAGGAGATTGTCAATTTTGGGGCAAGTAATCAAGATTAATGGTCAAAGAGATGCACAGCATGACCATCACATGTAAACCAGTGATAGTAATCACGATCACGAGCTCTTTGGATTGACTTTCCCCCACCTAGAAGACAAAGAACAGACTGAGATTTCTTATGAGACCTCTTAACCTCTGGTTTTCACAGAACATGTCCTTATGTTCAAAGAATTGCACAGAAACTGTCTTTTACAGATGTAGATGCACCAAAATTAACTCAAAAAGGCTTATAAACTAATATCAGTCCATTGCTTAACTCCATATCATGTATGTAACCCACACATTCGACTATCATGTTCTATCACTTATTATTATGTATTTTTAATAACTATTGAACAGCTTAAGGGTTCGTATTCATGTTTAGTATGTGTGTGTTTGAATCTTCTTGCTTGAAACGTTTCTTCCAATCAATTCTTTGTCAAATGTATCATATTCTTGTTATAGAAATCATGTCCAAAATTATACTCTGCAAGAGCGGGAAAACTCGGACCATGTGACTGATGAGATAACATTTGATTTATGAATTGGGAGGAGAAACATACAACACCCCGAGCAAAGACAATATCTAATTGGTCAAGGCACCATTTGGGATGTGTCCAAAAGCCCAGTTTAAATACTCAAGACACCATCAAACTTTGCTTTTTGTGTCTAGCTTTTAGCTTTTCGCTTTTAGTCATGCTTTTTAGCCATGCGGCTTTTTAGTTATATGCTTTTTAGCCATGCGGCTTTTCGCTTTTCGCTTTTAGTCGTGCTTTTCAGTCATCGCTTCTTAGCGCTTTTTGAGCGTGCTCTGGTTTACACACCAGCTCCTCCAAAACCATGAGGAGAAACGCCACCTAGTCTCATCAAACTTTACCATGTATGTAACCCACATATTAGACTATCATGTTTTAATCACGTATTGTGTATGTCTTTTTAATAACTATTGAATAACTTCATATTCATGTTTAGTATGCGTGTTTGAATCTTCTTGCTTGAAACGTTTCTTCCAATCAATTCTTTGTCAAATGTATCATATTCTTGTTATAGAAATCATGTCCAAAATTATACTCTGCAAGAGCGGGAAAACTCGGACCATGTGACTGATGAGATAACATTTGATTTATGAATTGGGAGGAGAAATATATCAACATCCCGAGTTAAGATAGTGTCTAATTGGTCAAAACACCATTTGGGATGTGGCCAACAACCCGGTTTAAATACTCAGGACACCATCAAATCACTGCTTTTTAGTCATGTTTTTAGCTTCAATTCATCGCTTTTAGCTCTTTGCGTCTAGCTTTTAGTTTTTCGCTTTTTAGTTATGTGCTTTTAGTCATCACTTTTAGCCATGCTGCTTTTTGCGTCTAGCTTTTAGTTTTTCGCTTTTAGTCATGTGCTTTCAAGTCATCACTTTTAGCCATGCGGCTTTTTAGTCATAGCTTTTGAGCTATGCTTTTTAGTCATTGCACGCTTTTTAATCATGCTTACACGCCAGATCCTCCAAAACCATGAAGAGAAATGCCACCTAGTCTCGTCAAACTTTACTTCTATTTCTTTACTTTAGTTTCTTTTCTTTTCCGTTGAGAGTTTCGTGTTCTGACTTAAGTCCGACCTCGAGTGCCGTCTAAAACTTCAACCAGCCCACAACTC